ATATGAAAAGCCATAAAGAAATCTATAGACATTATGTTATATGGATCAAATATAATGTAAATACACTGTGTCTTAAATCCCCAATAATGTTAAATAAATAAACAAAACCACTTAAATTGCTATCTTAAAATATGAATGCAAGTAAAACTGCTAGCCCAGTAGTGGAAGATAATTTCTGCCTGGGGAACATAAGCCTAAGTCTGTAAACAATAGACTTATGTAAAATCAAGGTAGGTGAAAAATAACAGAATGCCGATCCAGAAATCTATACATCTAGTTACTGCTTTTTAAAAATCTATACAAAACATAATTTATATAACCCTAATGTTAATAGAGAAAGGAAAACATTGTTCTAAACCCTGGTAAAATTGGAGTTTTGTTACCTCAGAACCTCACTGGCTGGTTTTATGTGACAGTATTATGAACATTTAAAAGCACTTTGGACTCTTGCATGTGATTTGGTGTTCATTTGTATACTTGAATACTATAAGCTTCCAAACGAACACATTAACCACTTAAATTCCGACCTATAGCAGTTTTACTGCTACAGGGTGGCCCTCCTGAGCAAAATCACGTATACAGTATAATAAGTGATCTTGCACTTTCACCATAGGGAGCTGTGTACATGCTACTGGGGGATCGCTTCTGCTGTGAACACTCACAGCAGAAGTTGATCTGCTAGTGTTGGTGAACAGATGTCCCCTAGCACCCGCTGATCGTTTGGGCAGGACACAGAACAGAGCTCTGCCTATATAAACAAGGCACTGCAGTGTTCTGATGGGGTGGGAGTCAAGGATCATGTGTGTCTCTGCAAAGCTGGGAACACGGTCCTTTCCTTCCCCAAGTAAGGGCACCACCTATTGTACATCAAGCACATAGCTAGGCACAGAGATAACCCTTTGATCACCTTTTTAACATTGATCACTGTATTAGTGTCATCGATTCCCACAAAGTGCCAGTTAGTGAAAAATGTCCACCACAATATTGCAGTTCCGCTAAAAGGCACTGATCTCCGCCATTAATAGTATTAAAAAGTAAAAAAAATTCCAGTATATGTCCCCTAATTTGTAGATGCTATAAGTAATCAATATATGCCTATTTGGGGTTTTTTTTTTTAACTGAAAATATGTAGCAGAATACATTTTGGCCTAAATTTATGAAGACATTTGATTTTTTTTATTTTTTTTATTGGGTATGTTTTATAGCAGAAAAAAAAAAATATATATATATATATTTTTTTTTTAAATTGTCAGCCTTTTTTTTATTATAACACAAAAAGCAAAAAATGCAGAGATGATCAAATACCACCAAATCTCTATTTGTGGAAAACAAATGACATAAATTTAATTTATGTGCAGCGCTGCATGACCGTGCAATTGTCAATTACTGTAAAGTAACGCAGTGCCATATCATAAAAAATGGCCTGGTCTGGAAGCGGGGTAAATCTTCCGGGGCCCAAGTGGTTAAAGTAGGCCTGTGTGTTTCAGAGCTGCCTCACCAGAGCCAGTGAGCTTGTTTGAAGATTGTATTGCACTTGTACCACTGGAATAAGCATTGAAATTTCAGTGCCTCTCAAATATGTTTTTCTGTTGAGAACTCCTTCAGATGTGTTTTGCCCATTTGGGGGCTCAGTCATAGAGACCTCTAGAATTAAGTCCCGAAAAGGGCGAAAGACATCTGAGGAGTTCCCTACAGGTGGAGAACAGGAGCTGAAGCCATCTTTTACTCATTTCATTCACATTTATGCAATAGGGAATTGGTGGCTGTGCAGATGGCCACTATTTTGTTGAACCTGACAAGCCGATCCTGTCTGTCTTGCACCAGTCTATCCACATGCTGGTCCGACTGACACAGGTTTGGAGGGCATTCAAGCGGTACTATTTTCATTTTTTCATTTTGGTAGATTTGTGTTGCCGGTCCGTCTGAGTGTTCGGTTTGGATCGAAGAAGTTAGTGTCTGTCTGTGTGTGAGGGGTGAACCCTTCTATCACGTGGTCCTGGAAGGCGGGCACTGCTGTGTGTGTGGTACCCGGACACTGACAGGTTTTTTCTGGATGCCCCAAACAATTGGGAAGGGGATTCATCAGAAAATTACAGATGTGCCTAGACGATGATCCTGTGATGCCATATCCTATTTCGAGATAACTTCGCTTGGATATCGGGATATCATCTACATGCATACTTGAATTATGCATCTGGTGAGTGCATGATTCAATTGATTTTGATCACCGGAAGACGCACGTTTTTGAATCACCTTTTTGTTATTTTTAAGGACTTTTTAAGGTCTTTTTTGCACTATATTTTGCACATATTAGTCACACATCCTTATATTTGGTTGTTATATGTTGCTATATGTATATTTATCAGAGATAATTGTATTTTTCTTAGCGCTGCGCCCTCTTTTTACATGTCCTTTGTAGGTTCTTTGGTACCTTTTGGCGTACAGCAGCTCCTTATCTAGCACTCACTTCCATTTTTCTTCGTACTATTTTCATTGTTTTGGGCTACATATGTTTTTCTGTTGTTTTACCTGGACCATTTGGTAAAAGGAAATTCCATGACTACCTTGAGAGCAGAGAGGCTTTTAGCAGACAAAGAAAACACAGTTGTCTTTTGCTGAAGAGGTGTATTTATTTTACATGTTTGTATATAAAAAAGCTCATCATATTCAGAGAGTACGGTACACTACGAGTTCTGAACATAAATGGCGATAACTAGGTTTTCTTTTCATTATTTTTTCCACATGGTATTTCATCTACTTTTTTAATACAATTAGGTGTACTAGAGAAATACAGCAAACTGGCTCAGTATGTAACAAGATTACATGAAGCACTAACATTTGTATCTCTATTTGCATAGGAAATTCACACAAAACATAGTAAGCTCGGATGTCATTCCCTGGATGTCATATAGCCACAGGACACATCAGGGGACCAGATAAAAAAAAAAAAGTAGCCTAACGCCTAAGCCTTTCTTAAAGTGAACTTGTGACAATATTAATATGCTATTGTTGACTTGTTTCTGAAAGGCGCTAGCCCCAGAACTGTTGTTCTGATCTTGGTTTCACTGCCTAGTATGTTTATCCCAGAACTGAGGATTTTATTCTTTACAGAAATGAATGGTGCTCATCAAAATCCCTACTTTACCGTTTCATATATATATATATATATATATATATATATATATATATATATATAACACACATATAACATATCCTCTAACTGCCCAGGCTTTCAGCAAAATCCCAGTATCTTGTGGGTTCAGAAAACTGTCCCTCTGCTGCATACTTGAATGCTTGTCTGAGCCCAGGCAGTGGATCTCCTGCCCAACAGTGCGTAATTCAAGCACTATCAGCACTGGTTAGAGTTGGGAGCTGGTGGCACCAGACAGGGATCTGTCTGAGGTAAGCATGCCACTGAACACTAAAAATATGTCCCTGATTAACCCCTTGGCACTGGGGTTTCTGACACTGGGAGGCGAGGTTTAGGGTCATGTGTCCACAGTGATTGGCTATTGCATTGTAAACAAGATATACCTGTGTGAAAATCACAAAATCGGTCACATGATCAGAAAGTTCCCAATCGCAAGTATCAATTGGCAGCTTTCCATGAGGTTCTGGTAAGTATGCCTGGAGCATGCTCTTGGCACATTTGTTTACATCGGGTAGAACAATGTGGCCTCTTGGTGTCAAGGCCCAGCCACCGAGAGGCTGCATATTTGCGTGCCGTCGGCACAAAGGAGTTAAGTTCCCACAAACACCAACAATGTGTCCCTAATTAAGCTCACATTAACACCAACAAAGGGGCCACTAAAGTTTGTTTATCGCACTGACTTTTTTATGATCCCACTACAACTACACTGTATACAATTTTGTTATACTACTAACTGCATTGACTGGACAGAACTTTCCTCTCACTGACTGCCAAAGCCAGGACATTTTTTTCCTTTCTCTGACTGTCAATGCTCACTTTTACGGGGGTTGTGTATCTGTGAGACTCCTACTTTTACCCAGCTCATTTGGTAAAGGGAAATCCCATGACTACGTTGAGGGCAGAAATGCTAGAGGAGTATTTTGTGGGTACAAGGACTGTGGCACATAAATGCAGTGTATACTGTGAACAGACTATGGGGTTGATTTACTAAAGGAAAATCGCCTGTGTACTGCAAGTGCACTTGCTCTAGATCTCAGGGGAAGCTCTGAAATGAAGGGAGGCTCCAATCATGTGCAAGCAAAAATGCTGTTTTTCATTTTCCTTGCATGTGTAGCGCTACCCCCTTAAGAGCCACTGAGTATTTTTGGGTTCCCTATCTGTTCCGAGCCTGTTTTGGAAGTACAGCCCCTGCTGACATCACCGTGAAACCTTGACCAGGAGGATTCCCTGGCTTTGAACCATAAAATAAACACACAGTTTAACCACTAGCCTACAGGGCACTTATACCCCCTTCCTGCCCAGGCCAATTTCCAGCTTTCAGCGCTGTCACATTTTGAATGACAATTGCGCGGTCATGCAACACTGTACCCATATGCAATTTTTATCATTTTTTTGTGACAGATAGAGCTATATTTTGGTGGTATTTAATCACCTCTGGGTTTTTTATTTTTTCTTAAACCAAAAACCACTGAAAATTTTGAAAAAAAAAAAGTTTTTTCTTAGTTTTTGTTATAACATTTTGTAAATAAGTGATTTTTCTCCTTCACTGATGAGCGCTAATGAGGCTGCAGTGATGGGCACTGATAGGCTGCACCAGGGGCAGACTGACAACCCATAAGGCCCCCGGGCAATAGGGGATCATGGGGCCCTTGTGTCCTTGCCCAAACTCAAAAAAGCCTAGAAAAAGGTACCAGGGGCATCTCATGGGGCCCTCTACTGACTCCGGGCCCTCGGGCGGTGCCCGAGTTTCCAGATGGTCAGTCCACCCCTGGGCTGCACTGATGGGCACTGATAGGTGGCACTGATGGGCTCTGATGAGGAGGCACTGGTAGGTGGCACTGATGGGCATTGACAGGCATCACTGATGGGCACCTGAAAGGCAGCACTCATATATGGCACTGATAGGTGGCACTGATATGTGGCACTGACTGGCACTGATAAGCGGCACTGATGCACACTGATAGACGGCACTGACTGGCAGCACTGATAGGTGGCACTGACTGGCATTGATGGGTGACACTGAAAGGCAGCTCAGATGGGCACTGATATGTGGCATTGATGGGCACTGGTAGGCACTGAAATGTGGCACTGATGGGCACTGGCAGGTGGCCTGGATGAGCACTGACAGCTGGCACTGATGGACACTGACAGGTGGCACTGCTGGCGCTACACAGATCATCAGGGCACACTGATCATCAGTCCTCTGATGATCTGTGTACATGTCCCCTCCGAGGAATGTCAATTACCAGCTCTCCTCTCCTCTCGAGCTGTCAGCATGACAGCTCGTGAGGAGAGAAATGCCGATAACCGGCATTTCCCTGTTTACATGCGATCAGCTGTGATTGGGCACAGCTGATCACATGACTGAGCCGACATCTTCGGCTCTTTCCGTTGATCACTGATCCGCGATCCGCTGTGTCCGAGGCTCCCGGAGCCGCGCATGCGCGGTTAGAATGGGAGGATGTCATATGACGTCCTCCCAGAACGAGAGAACCGCTTTGCACCCGTCATTGTACTATATGGCGGGTGGGAAGCGGTTAAGGTGAGCAAATATTCTAATTGTACTGAGGTTAGAGTATAGGGAGTGCAGCACAACAAGAATGACAGTAGATGTGCATAGAAATGAAACACTCTAAAAGGTTTAACAAAAATCAAGCACAGTAATACTTTAAACAAACCCAAATGTTCTGCAGGATCAGAATTTAAACATCAATTTCAGCTTCTGAGTTATCTCTTTGTGAGCTGAAGTGGACTATCAAGATGCTAAGCTAACTCACTTTTGGGTTTTCAATAGCTGGGAAATTAGTTTAACTGTTGAGATTAACCTTTATTTATATAAATATATACTGTATATATATATATATATATATATATATGTATATATATATATATGCGATAATGTCCCCTTTTGTATCTCATCAAAGGATGGTGACCAATCTTCTGTGCGCTTGATAGGACCCTAGTTGGTGCACATTAAGGTTAAGATCGTTTTGGGGAAGGGCAAGATTTCCTCAAAATGGTATAGCAACAGAAAAATTCCTTTTTGAATAGTGTTTAAACTGGGTAAAGTCTCTTTAACACAAAAGATGAAGGCAAGAATTGGCTAAAATTGAAGAAAGGGGCAGAAGCAGACTTCAGCAGAGGTTGAACCCCTAAATGGTGAACTAGTCTGATGAAGCAAGTTCCTTTGGAGCAGGAATAGGCTTGAGATGAGAAACTAGTGTAATCCTGTCTGCAGGGGCATGTGCTGTAGCCAGAGTCCTGCGGTTTCAGAATAATAGAGAGACACTAAAGCAGTAGGCCGCAGTGCTAAATGGGCTAGGCAGTCTGTGTCTCAATGTGATATTCTGTGGTGTAAAGTGTACTGAATTGAACAGTTGAAAATAACACAGCCACTTGCAATTTGTGATGATCTGGATTGTGGAACTCACCTGGTTTGTGGTATTTGCAGCGTAGTCCCTCTGTTGGGGGAAAGGCTCCATGTCCTCATGATCCCTCTGTTAAGAAGCGGTGCAGATGGCAGCACTACGATCCTCCTGCCTGCAGGATTGATTGTCCTGTTCATTAGCGATACCAGGTGTCTGCAGTCCCTCTTTCCTTTTCCAAGAAAAGGCCCGATCCAGCCTGGATCCCCTGATGGCCTTCTCCGCATACACAACCTCCACCTCTCACAATTTAATTCCTGTAAACTTCACAGGCTTCTCAATACTTATTGTATACTCCCACCCCACCCTTTTGCCAGCTCTTCTGGGAAATATAGTCTGTTCACTCCTCGTCTGAGTGCAGAAGTCCTGCTACCAGCATATAAGTTTAACAAGGCTTTGCTTCAATATGGTCTGAATAACTGAACCACAGGACACTGTCATCTTGTGCTTAATTAACATCTTGCAATCAGTATAAGTGCAGTGTGTTACACGTGACTGGGTATTCTTTGCAAAATGAAGCTTTACCTCATTTAGTAAGCTCTGGAGCAACTGCACTTGCAGTGCACAGTATATTTTCCTTTAGTAAATTAACCCCTAAATCTTTATTTAACCAATACCCTATAAGCCAAGCCAGTGCAATTTAGCAAGTTCTCTTGCCAAGTGCTCATATTTTTTGTCAGGTGCCCTTATTGTCAGATCTGCAACCAGCACTAGTGTATTCAAAGATTAATAAATGCAGGACTCCCCCTCCCAATTTTCCCTATTATATACCTTAATTTGATGAAACATGGAAAACATGTCCACAGCACTGCAAGCTTTGTAAAAGACGCTATGAGCTGTACCTTGCTCTTCTGCTTCCTGCACATTGACTACTGTATGTAGAAATGTTTGATCCATCATGTTTGTGTGTATGCCTGAAAAGCACTTGCTCATTTAGTGTAAGTTTTCATCACTCTACCACAACTCAACACAAGGTACAAACAAGTGAAGCCATCCTGCCATAAGCTAGTGTGTCTTTTTACCTTTAGACATCTTGGCTGTGGCCAGCCACTGCAAATTCTGTAAGTCAGCCAAGCTATTGGTGTACCCTACTGCCACTGGGTGTCACTGGTCCCTCAGGCAATAGAGTGAAGGTTCTCAGTGGGCTTGGTTTATGAATATATATCCTTTCTCAGCCAGCCACTAAAAATTTGATTGCCAGTGGTGCATGATGGGAAAAAGGTATGAATATTTAGAGTGATGTTAAACAGGTGGAATTTGTGCACCAAACTAAGGCCTGGGGGAAGTGCTTCTGAGCTGCTGTCTCCGTAGGCCTGCTGTCTGGGGATACCTGTGTACACAAGAGGTTTAGGTCTGCAGTAGGCCTTTCCTGTATGGAGAGAAGCTGGATACAAAATGAAGTCCCAAGAGAGAATCCTACTGAAGTGTCTGTGTGGCTTTTATGCTAGAAGCTCATGGGTAGGAGCTGGTTGACTTATCCAGGAACAATAGTAGTTCACCCACTCTTCTGCTATGTTGCTGCTGAAAAACAGGAGTGCTGGTCTTGGCATGATGGCTCTTTTTCTGTTAGCAGCGTGTGGAGTCCTGGAGTTCTGCATGTGGCCCTATAGCATCTGTATTCCTATCCCCTCTCGTTTGGTGTGGTGAGCAATAAATTAATTTTTTATTCAACAAAGTAACTGGCGCCTGTGTGCAACCCCCCCAACACACGGTAAGTTTAATCGCTGGGATAAATGCTAGCCCACCCTGCCACTGGGGGTCCTTCATACACCTTTGGGGGTAAGTCAGGTGCCACACATGCTCAGACTTTGGGGAAATTTGACTTCATGTGTGGGAGCAGGTTGATGTGGTAGCTGCACATGCAGAGGCTGGTAACATAAGGAGGCAGCTAATATGAAGGAATTGGAGATTGCATATGAGCGGCTTCCATGAGGTAGGTGGTAAATTGATAGGGTTCAATAGCAGTGACTAAACACTCCCTACATATAACGTACAGTAACTATGAGATATGGGAGTGCGGTGATGGTTTTACAGGGGCTTCTGAACAATAGTCATAGACATTACTGTCCTGTATGGGCTGTCAATATTAGAAAATGCAAGCAAGTTCAGATAGAAAACCTTGAAATTCACTGGTAATAAATACATTTCACAACATGAGTTTTAGAAATATAACTTTAATAGTAGCTGCAGATCAGCTTCCTGCAGATTCCCCCATAACAAGACATATGGGCATACTCTCAAGCTAGGTGTGTGCCCATAGACACACATAGCCTGGATCAGCCACGCCCCCTGCTCCTTTCTCATAGGATTTGATTGACAGAAGCAGGAGCCAATGGTTCTCGGTGCTGCCTGTGTCTCCTGTGGGACCAGGAAATGAAGAGCAGGGCTTCAGATGGGGCAGTGCTGGATCATGAGAGGAGCCGGGTAAGTATTTAGGGACTGGGGGAAAAAGTTCAAGAGCTATTGAGACATTTTTATGTTAATGCAGGGAATGCATTAGGGTATAAAATATTTTGATTTTAGAACCACTTGACCTGCCATCACTCCTGTTGTTCAGAATGGAGCGCATAGCAGGGGCAATAGTAGCTGCTGAAGGGTGAATGCTGCTCTCTCCTCCCTGCAACTGCAACAGCTGTGTAATGTAGGAAGGAGACAGAAGACAGGGTGGCTCTTGTGCTGAGAACACAGACATCTCCTTCTCAGCCACCTTACCTCCTTTTAGGCTCATTTACACTTGTGGTTGGGAGCGGTGAAAAAAAATTGAACCACATTTTTACAACCCCCCCCCCCCCCCAACTGCTCTCCCTTAAGCTGCAATGGTAGTGGACAAGGCTACACTCATGAAGAAGTGTGAATGGATCCTACTCTCACATTTAGCATGACCTATTCAACTGAAAGGGCCACTCCACAACCTCCCCGCAACCACATGCAATGCACACTGTTGCAGGATGTAGTGCAAACTTGTATGGGGTAAAACAGATGGTGAGCCCTGCAACATAATACCTCCTCATTGCCTGTCAATTGCCTTCTGAAAAGCAAGCTATTGCAGATTGCTCTTCAGAGGGATAACTCTAGTGTAAACCAGCCCTTAGAGCCATACACTGCCCCTTAATTAAATGAACCCCACCAACCCTCCCAGATCTCTTCTTTTCCTAATACCACTGCCAAATCAGTCCTCCTTAGACTTACACCACCAACATAGGGGCATTTTTCTTTCCAGTGACAACATGGGTGCAGGGGCATTTTGCTTCCACTGACACAAATGATGCAGAGATATTTTTACTGCAAGTGACATCATGGATGCAGGGGCATTTTTCCTTCCAGTGACACTACCCACACGTGGGGCATTTTTTTCTTTCCAATGACTATACTGATGCAGTCATTTTTCCTTCCAGTGACACCACAGATGTAGGGGCATTTTTCCTTCCAGTGACATCACTGATGCAGAGACATTTTTCCTGCCAGTGACACCACAGACACAAAGACATTTTTCTTCCGGTGACACCATGAATGCAGGGACATATTTCCTTCCAGTGACACTGGGGACAGTGGCGCCATAGATGTAAGGACATTTTTCCTTTCAATGACATCACCAACAGATGCAGGGACATTTTTTCTTTCAGTGACACCACAGACACAAGGACATTTTCCTTCTGGTGACACCATGAATGCAGGGACATTTTTCCTTCCAGTGACACTGGAGACACAGGGACATTTTTTTTCTTTAAGTGACACCACTGACACAGGGGCAATTTTCCTTCCAAGGACACAACAACGTGGTAATATTTTCCTCATAATGATGCTGGAGCATTTCTTCTACGACACAAGTAGCCCCATGTGCACGTCTATTAAAAGCATATGTTACATACAGTATGTTTTGGTGCTGTGTGCTACCTGTGTTGCTATTAAGCAGACCTTTACACCTGAGTGGGGAGGAGGTTGGGGGTGAGCAGTCTGGCATCTTGTCCTGAACACTGG